TTGAGGACTGTGCCACAATGTGAGCTCATGGTCTCTCAGTCTCTATGTTCCTTCAACAAGTTAAAGAGACTTAACAGATTTAGCCATGGAGATTTTGTCCTGGAGACATGATCTCAAATTACAAATGCTGATCTGCAGGCCCAGTTAAATTACAAACTGATAATACAAGTCCTATATGACAAGAGGAAATACTGAGCCAATAATGAACAAGTCAGAGGAATTTTGTCCTTCAAAATTTTTCACACTCTGCTGCTTGCTCTTTCCAAAGAGCCTCTTAGATGAGAGCAGGGTGTGGGTGTGATGATCTCTGGTGTCACGGCCCCTTCTCACTGCTTTTCTATGACTTGATTCTTCCGAGACCCCCATTTGTCACTTGGCTGAAAAGCAGTCACCACCTCCGAGAGGAAGGTGCTCCTGCATGGGTGGTGGAAGGAGAGACACATGGTAGGGAATGCAAAGGAAAACTGCTTGCATGGCCAGTTAGGCAAGCCTATGAGCAAGCATATTTTAAAGGCAGACAGTAGCATATTGTTCATGTGATGTTGTAAATATTTTTGTGTAGAGGGGAAAGGGTCTTAGCATGGTTTTGTAAAAGGTCTCTTGGGTTGTATCAACTGAAAGCTATACTCTAAAGGAATTAATCATCATTGCCAGAATTAGATATAGGAATAGAATAAGGGTAGTCTGTATTTCCAGAAGAGGGCTATCCACTAGCTGTTGAAAGCAATGCGGGGCATTAGTAGTGTAAAACAACTTCACGTTCAGGTCAGAGAGGATCAATAAGAGTATGTCATACATAACATGACACCACCTTTTGGATTTAACTGAGTGTCCCGATCCAATACTGGGGAAGGTTCTTAAACGATCCCAAGAGAAACATTAAGACAAACAAGGTCAGATGCCATACAACTTTGTGACCTTTATTTCCCATAACAACTGATAACAGAGAGAAGACAGAGAGAAGAAAAATTCAGAATACCTAAGCAAACAAATTAAAGAGATGCAGCAAGATTAGTTACCACCCCCACCAATCCAGCAGTGTCCCATTGGCTTGGTCTTGGTGCAAGTGATGGGGTCTTTGCTCCAAACTCGGCTAAAGTCCCAGCTCCACCCAATGATTTTAAAGAATCAAGAATCATCTCCAAGAGAGGAGTACAGAGTCTTTTTTTTTGTCCCAGTCCCCACAACTTCTCTGAAGAGTCCTCCCATTTCCACAGAGCTCATTTTTGTGTGCCATCCTATGTTCCTCCACGCGCACATGCCCAGGTGTTCACAGTGGTTGTGCCGGGGGATGGGGTTGACTTGCAGTGTCTTCAGCCTCTTCACATCTTCCTCACCCCAATTTCCTCTCCATCCGGTTCGTGCACAGGTGCAGCTTGGTAGGCACTGCCAAGGATGTTGCTGTTCTAGCTTCAGGCAGATGTCGTAGTTTCTTCAGGGACAATTCTTCTCCTTCAGAGTGTACTCCTCCAGGAAACAGGATGTTGAGGCCAGGAAGCAGTAGTGGTGCAGCAGCAATGTGGAGACAAACACAGTCCAACACAGTCTCTTACACTGAGTTCATGTGATTTGCTGTAAAGTGAGTAAGAGATTGTAAAAAGAATTGGAAGTAGGCAAGTGTAGGGAGAGGCGCTCGGAAGATCTCATGATGTAAGGAAGGAATAAGGAAGTAAAGATCTCGCGATGTACGGAAAGGCACATATAAAACAATTGCGCAGTTAATAAATTGAACAAGAAGCAAGCACCATATTGGCGTCTGTGCTTTTGTTCCCGTGAAGGTCATAATCTCCTGCATGGATTAGCTGTGATCTGAGTGCCACACCTCTGTGGATTGGCAGATAGAAAAACACAGCTAATACCTCTACCGCAACAAATGGTGATCTGACTGACATGATCCAGCGAAAGTTGAACCATGAAGGTTGGTAGTGCATGGCAGGAGGTGAAGGAGCTCCATGCAGGGCGGGAGACTCTGCGGTGCGCCATTGAAGCCACAATTAAAGTACTTGAAATATGGGGAAAACAACATAAGACTTCTATGAAGTCGGGGACTTGAAAAGCCATGCTACAAAGATTAGTAAAGCTTGGCATTCTGGCCGAGCCGACAGACTGCGTGAAGCCAGAGCTATGGCCTCAAATAGAAGCTGAATTAGTGGAACAGGCAGTGGTGAAACTCCTCCAGTATATCCTCTCTATGAGGGGGAAAAAATATGATAAATTCACTCTGGAAGGTTTAAGATGGAGCTGAGAAAAGGGACTTATATCTACCTGGGAGTCTATAGGGAAACAGCTTTGAGATTCGATCAGTGATGGAGGAAGGTCAGCAAAAGAAGTGAGCAGCTATAGCACACTCCGGAAACAAATCTGAGAGACTTTAGGGATCGCAGCGGCATCTCATTCTGACAATCCACCTACGATGCCAGCGCCCCCATTGCATTAGGTCAGTAAAAAAATCCATTCACCTCATCAATTGCACAACCAGGACCGCGGCAGGCAGCAGGAGCTAAATCAAAAGCTGTGCGGTCAGAGCTGAGAACACCAGAAATGCATCTGATGCCATCAGGAAGGAGAATGAGGCGGCGTCGGAGGAGTCCGTGGGGTCCAGCAGTGGGTGGGGTGTGGAGTACGGAGTTGGCGGCGGCGGCCCGGGGCCTCCCTGAGACCCCCCCGCTGCAGAGTGACCGCCTGTGGCTGAGTCCGGCACCGTGTGCTTGTCCCAGTCCCCCCCACCCCACCCCCCAACAAAAGCAGCAAGAGGTTTTTTTTCACAGAGGAGGAGCATACTCTGCAGGGAGAGTGCACCTCTGTACCACCTGCCTGACAGAAATATTGTCAAGAGATCATCTACAACCTTACAGGAGTTGTCCATTTTACCAGGGATAGTAGTTGCTGATTAGGAAGGGGAAATAAGAATTATTGCTTGGACTCTTGTACCCCCATGTTCAATAACAAAAGTCAAAAGCTGCTCAGCTTGCTTACATTACTGCGGCTCCCCCTAATACTATTCTGAGAAGCTGCAATGACTCAGGATTTGGAGCAGCAGGCACCCCTTAAATATTTTTGGACTCAGACAGTGACACAAGATTGACTTCTGGTAAAATGTACTCTCATTAAAGCTAAAAAATCTGTTGAGCTGACAGGCATTTTAGATACCAGTGCGGATGTGACCGTAACATCTGCGAGCAGATTGGCTGTTAGCTCCAGTAACTCAGATGCCTTTCAGGGTGGTGGTCATGCTGTAGCAATTCAAAACAAGGGTCTCACTCATGGAAGGGGCCCAGAAAACTGGGTAGCAAATATTCATCCATTTATATTGGAAACCCCTATTACATTTTGGGGTCGTGACTGTATGGCTCAATGGGGAACTCAAATGGGATCAAATTTGTCTTAATCACCACTGCAGCACAACCCACCCTGAAAGCCACCCTGAAACTAACCCAGAAAACAGAATCACCTGTGTGGGTGGGTCAGCGGCCCTTGCCAAGGAAAAAGTCATGCCACCTTAATGATTTACTTCAAGGACAATTAAGTTTCTTATTTTAAAGAAAAGTGGTAAATAGTGACTTTTACATGATCACTGACACAATAATGATATCATGGAGGATAAAAATACTTTACAACTATGAATGTCCTCCCCAACAATGATTACCCGAAACTGGCATCTTGTAGTAATTGATCTAAAGGATTGATTTCTTTTAGCCTTCCCTTGCATCCAAATGATGCACCTAAAATTACTTTTTTTGTTCCCACTATTAATATTAGTGAACCTGCAAAACAATACCACTGCGTTATTTTACCATAAGACATAAAAGTCCCACCAGATCCCCCAAGCTGTTATATATCATTATATAGATGACATCCTTATAGCAGCAGAAACACAGGAGATCATCGAAAAGGCTCTTGCTTTAACCAAGCACTCACTATCTCAAATGGTATTGCAAATACCACTTCAAAAGGTACAGGTATCATCACCAGGAAGTACCTGGGCTGAAGAATTTGTGAACAGACTATTGTCCTGCAACAGCTTAAACTTAAAACTGATGTTAAGACTTTAAAAGATCTACAGAAACTGTTAGGAACTATAAATTTGATACAGCCATTGTGGGCCTAACTAATGATGATCTGCATAGCTTGTTTGATATTTTATGAAGAGATCCTTCACTGACATCACCCAGAGTACTTACAGAAAAAGTGAAACAAGATCTCCACCACATAGCTAACGCCATCTCAAACAGACAAGCATCACAAGTATACTACATTCCCCCACGGGACAAGCCATCATAGAAAGAGCACACCAAACCTTGAAATCGCTTTTGCAAAAACAAAAAGGGGAACAGATCTTGGCTCCAGGGCAGCCATATGCTCTACTGTTTCAGTGGGATGAAAAACACATGCTTTTTTTTCCACCAGAATGCCAGAGCAATACAAAACAGTTTTCTTTATCAAGGCATCACACTAAAACATCATTGCAACTTGCCCTGAATGCCAGAAAGAATCCATCTCTTCCACAGTGGTGTCGACCCTTGGGGACTCACCTCCTCAGAATTATGCCTATCTGATGTCACTCACTCAGCTGCATTTGAAATGTTAAAATATGTACATGTGTCTCTTAATACCTTTTCTGGAGCACTATTTGACTCCTGCCATACAGTGGGGAGTCAAGCACCTGACCAGCATTCCCCACTTGCCGGCCGGTCAGGCCATTGTGGATCATACATCTAGCAAGCTAAAGCATCTATTACAATAACAACAAAGGGGGAAGATGCAAGATATCAATCTACACCTCACAAAAGGCTAAATAAGGCATTATATGTCATGAACCTTTTAAACATTTCCCCTGTCTCACAGGTGCCACCAATATTGTGTCATTTCTCATCACAGATACCAGGTCACAAGAAGTCCAGAGCAAGGCTCAAGTGTTAACAAAAACCTAGGAAGGGGTAACTGGGAAGGACCATTTCCTTTAATAACCTGGGGAAGAGGTTATGCTTGTGTCTCCACACGTCTCAGTCTCCAGTGGTCACCGGCAAGGTGTGTGCAACCACACCTGAGGCGTGAGAGGCAGCCAGCACTCAGGATCCAGCTGTGGTGCTGTGGGTGCCCCTGTGCGGACAGTTTGTGATCTCTTTGACTGATCATTTAAGCAGAATGTCTGGGTAATGTTTGCTACTGCAACAGAACAAACTACACTACAGTTGACAATTCTTTTAAGAGAAAATGCTAACAGTAATTGCAACTCCTTAATGAGATATATAGGCTTACTAGTCACTAGTGAAAGATGTAGTTTAGATGAAATGTAGTTATTAATAACGATGAAATGCTATAAGAATGTGTATATTCAACTTTCTTTGTTAAGCAATATTAAGAATTAAGAGCTCAAGTGTTTAACATTTCTAGAAACTCCCTTGGTTTTCCCCCTGGAGTGCTGGCCAGGCTCTGGGTGGAACCCAACAGGAGGATGGAATCAGATGTTCCTGCTCAAAGAAAATTGCCAGTTATTTTGGCTTGTTGATTTGGAGGCTGGACCTGCTTGCAGCGACGTTGGATGCGTCACCTATGGATGGACACATCACGTAGGATTTCCGGTTTGTGAGGAAGGGCACTCTGAATTCTTGCTGCATCCAGGGTTCCCCAGCAATTGAGGATCTGAATGTTAGTACCCCATTAAGTAAATGTGCTACTCCCTGTTTTCCTTACTGTTTATTTTGTAGTATTTAGTCTTATCCCTTATTTATTGGTACTGAAATTAGCCTACTCTTTTCATCAGTAATTGTAACTAGTGTATTGTTTTAGCCTTCTGTGGAACTATTCTGTGTGCTATCTTTTTGAAGTTTGTCTATCCTTTAATTGATACAGCTCTCAAACAAGTCTTGCAGGTGCCATTGCAAAACCAAGAAAGGGGAGATCTGGGAGGCATCAGCCTTGCACAGCCTCTGACAAAGAGCTAAGCTTTGGTGAAGAACAGGCCTCAGAAGATAGATAAAAAACTGCTGAGTTGTGCCAAGGTGGCAGGAAAAATCAATCAGGACAGCAGGCATTTTGCCTAGGCTTAGCAACTGCTGCCGACCCATCCCAGACCGGTTTGATTGGAGTTAGAGTTGAGAGGCTCTCTTCCCCAAGTAGCTGGGAATAGCATGCGAGATCAGGCCTGGGGATGTATGTAGTTTGCTGGACAAAAAGCCTATCTGACACATGGTTGGTATAATCAGACAGTCTGGCTGGGATGGCAAATCCATGCCTTTGGCCTGGGCTTATTAAAATACCAACAAGGCTGCCTTTGTTACCATAGTCGCTGTTGTAGCAGACCTTATAGGATGCCTACAAAACATGACCCTTCAACACTTTGGAAAGGAACCTGTGTGCAAGTTTTAATCGTTGCCGGGATCAGGGACCACGTGGCCGTTGCCCCTCCCCCACCCGCGCCGGTCAGGCTGGAAGTTAGACACAGACCCCGGCTAAAATAACAAGAAATTTAATACAACAGAGTGATAGAACAATCTGAACAACAACAGTATCAATGGTAACAACAATAAAGAGCAATAACAGTGAAAAGACAAACGATATACAGAGAAATACCGCTAGCTGGTCTACAGAAAGCAAAATTCTCCCCCGAACCCGCCAAGGAGCAAGGAAGAGAGGTTCCGCCCCTGGACCTGATGTCAGCATGGTATGAATAACCCGCCTGGAGATCCCTTCCCCCTCTCTCTCTGCTGAGGAAAACTTTACTCTATCCTGGCTGAACCAGGACAACCTGACACAATATTCATCCCCTAGAAGCAGCAAGTGCAGGATGACATGGTTACGTGTTCGGAAGACTTACAATGTACCATCTTTGACTTTCCAGGCTCCATGACAACTGGAAAGCATCTACAATGGATTACACACTTGAAACACTTCAGCTACAACTTACACTACCTATAGTCATGCGCCCTCTTAACGGCACAACACACTTTACAGATGCCTCATCACAATCACAAACAGCTGCACTCGTATGGAAAGCTGAAGGACTTTGGGAAAGAGGTTGTGGACTCAGACTAATAAATCAGGACAATGGTTGGAAGCCAAAGTGGTCCAGATGGCACTCCAGCAAGAGACAGAGAATCCAATTAATATTGTTACAGACTCCCTATATATTTATAAACTTGTACACAAAATAGTAACAGTAGGATTTGTGCAGACAGAAATGTCAACTTTACTTTATGACGCTCTACAACAACACGTAGAACAGGCCTTTTTCCACATGCGAACAGTCACCAATCCTTACCTGGTCCAATTGTAGAAGGCAATCATAACACTGACCAGGCAGCACGGGGGGTATGGTCACTAGATGCTACAAAGCATTTACATGCCTTTCTACACCTCAGAGCAAAAGCCTTAGCAAAAACATGTCATATTTCTCTGTCACAAGCAAAAAACATAGTGGCACTTAGTCCCTACTGTCAAAAGGGCCCATTGTGGGAAGCAGGTGTCAGTCCAAAGGGTCTCTCTTCCAATCAGATATGGCAAAATGATAAAACAGAACGTGACCTACTAAAACCAAATAAATACCTCATAGTAACCATCGACACCTTTAGCTCTACACTATTAGCCACGATGGCTCGCAAACAAACAGCCAGACACATTATTGTTCATTGGGAGGGCGTCATCACCTTATTAGGGAAGCCACAAGAGATCGAAACAGATAATGGCCCTTGTTTCATCGCTAGACGTACCAAAGAATGGTGTGCATTATGACACATCAAGTTAGTACACGGCCTTCCTTACAACAGTCAAGGGCAAGCAATAGTGGAACGTGCGCATTGCACCCTAAAAGCCAAACTCCAACAGCCTGGGGAGGGGGAAGGTCATAAGGGGACAATACCCATAGACCGGCAACAGACTTTATTGTCCCACACCCTTTATTCATTAAATCATTTTGTTAGAGGTGACGAGTCCACACCCGCCCTGTGGAAACACTTTATGCCAACCCAGGTGACAAAAATTATCCTTTGGTTCAGGTTAAGGAACCGGGAGCAATAGCGTGGGAATCAGGCTGGTCACAGAGTGTTTTGGCATGGGTACGCAGCAGTGGAAAAGGATGGTTTAATCAAATGGATACCTGAATGATGTATAAAACCTGAAATAACCATTTCTTCTTAAAGTTTTTGCAGATTTTCTGTGGCTTTTGGCTACTCGGATCTTCTGCTAGACGAACCATCTCACCCAGACCCAACATATGGGCAAGCACTACTGAGAAGCATGCAGCAGCTGTGGATAATACAAAAAAAAAAAAAAAAAAAAAAAAAAAAAAAAAGCCCCCTTACACATGAAGAAATAGAACAACAAGCACTTCAATTATTACAAATATAGCTATATAGCATGGGGAGGGGGAAGTGTAGGGAGAGGTGCTGCGAAGATCTCACCATGTACAGGAAGAATAGGGAAGTAAAGATCTTGTGATGTACAGAAAGGCATATATAAGGCAATTGAGCTGTTAATAAATTGAACAAGAAGCAAGCACCATATTGGCGTCTGTGCTTTTGTTCCCGTGAAGGTCATAATCTCCTGCATGGATTAGTTGTGATCTGAGCGCCACACCTCTGTGGATTGGCAGATGGAAAAACACAGCTAATACCCCTACCACAACAGTCAAGTCTATATTAAATTCTGTATTAAAGTATGATTCTATAGTGCCTGAAAATACTTCCATAAAAGAGGTTATTCACTCAAAACTTGTACAATGCTCTCAAAGACAACGTTTCTTATTTAATTCATTTTTCAGAGATTCTTGGTACCGCTTCATTTGTCAAAGCAGAGGGAATATACCTTTTCAGTTTATTTTTTACATTTTAGTCTACATTAAACATACAAAATTAATGTTATTTTTTTCACAAAATATCAGCTCTTTTCCATTTGTTTTTCAAAATATAGCCATGGGAATAGCTGAAATCCACTTTTTTTTTTTTTTTACTTTTTTTTTTTAACAGTGGCAATATAGAAAGACAAAATAATTTCATCTTTAAATCTCTTATTAAAGTATTGATGGTTTATGTGAAAGTTTTCTTTGTCTTTTTTTCCACTTACACAGAAGACAAACTTATTTTTTTAACTTTATTAAAACAAATGTTCAAACAGGCATAGGTTTTACTAAACAACATATTAGGAAAAAATATCTAGAAGTTCCTTAAGTATTTTGTACAAATACTAATATTTTAGCCTTTAGCAATGACCATAGTGAGATAAGTATCTTTATACCATATGACAAGTCAAGCTTAGCCAATGATTAAATAGGTATATTCCTCTGTATCATGTCTTTCAACTGCCCCACTCTTTTCCTTTTAGATAAGGTTGCTCATTATTTTGTCCTTGGCAGAATTTCTGGGCAATTTCTGTATTGTTCAAATTCAACAACATAAATCCAGAAAACTTCACAAAGAATTATGAGAAAACACATCATGTGTGTCAAATATATAGGACATTACCAAAACTACTTAATTCATCATTATCAAATGTTGACAAACTATGACACCAGCATTGATTTGCCATGCAAAACTCAGATTTAAAATCTGAAGATAAATTCTTTATGCTCATATTTGCTGGTCCTGCATTTATAATATCATTCTAATTATTTTTATTTAAAAAAAAAAACCACATAGTTTTTATTTTATTTTTATTTTCTTGTTTGTTACTGGTTTGCCTCAACATCAGCAGTAATATCAGCAGTTTTAAGAACTGAGGTGTGAATTATTTGCCTTTTCATATGTAACAGAAACTGCAGAAGGATGGGATACACTTTAATGACTTTAAAGTTTCACATTAATTTAGTTTCACCAGGAAACTTAACACGCTTGAATAAAAATATTATTACAAAAATGTTTGTAAAATGGAGAAATGTTCAGTGATTTCTTACAGAAAATATGACAGAAAGAAAAATCAACTAATTGCCTCAGTCTGATCAATATTTCATATTAGTCAATTATTTACAGCATGTCTTAGTTTTGGCTCTGATCACTTAATTAATATGGTTTTAAAATTTTGTTAAATGTGATTTGTGGTGAATTACATAATGAACCTTGTCCATTTCTGTTCATGCCAAGCTACTAAAGAAAGCCAAAGCTGCACCAGGATAGCGTACAAGCATGACCCCATTGATTAAATCTTAGAAATGTGCTGTCTCAGTACATCTGGAAACTGTGATGAATACTTTTTCTCTGGTGTTGAACATTTAATGAAATGTAAAGAAACCTGCCTTAGGAAAATCACACATGGATTAATTACAAAACTAGCTCTTACTGCCTCTCAAGACTGAGTGCATATACTAGCAGAACTCTTGCAGAAGGCACAATAATAGCATTGCTATAGCTATGATGTTCTAAAATATATAAATGAGACCAAAAAATATTTAAAAAGCTGTTTTTTTCATGTAGAACATGCCTACAGGTATTTGCATTTCCTCTATCCCAGGACTGAATCAAACTCAGCTGATTCAGTCTTTCACTTTGGCATATGCTAAATCTGGAGGATGAAAACTCAATTTGCATTTGGCATTCTTTCACTTCAGTAGGAAATACCATGTTTTCTTTAAGTATACATAAACTTATCTGATTCTAGATCCTGAATGAGGCTTGCATTGATTAACGTGAAACTAAATCAGTAATTACATACAGCCCATGCTACGTAGCTGTTTTCTAGTAGTATGATCCATAAAAAAAATAAAAAAGGAAGAAAATAAAGAATAAAAAAAAAGGTATAATTTGTTTTTGACGTGATTTATGTAGGATTAGAATCATAGAATCATCTAGGTTGGAAAAGACCTTGAAGATCACCTAGTCCAACCATTAATCCAACACTGACCATTTTCAACTACACCACATCCTTCAAGCACTATGTCGACTCTAGCCTTAAACCCCTCCAGGGATGGGGACTCTACCACCTCCCTGGGCAGCCCATTCCAATGCCCAACAAGCCATTCTGTAAAGAAATGCTTCCTAATATTCAGTCTAAACCTTCCCTGGCACAACTTAAGGCCATTCCCTCTTGTCCTATCACTTACTATTTGGTTAAAGAGACTCATCCCCAGCTCTCTGCGACCTCCTTTCAGGGAGCTGTAGAGGACGATGAGGTCTCCCCTCAGCCTCCTCTTCTCCAGACTAAACACCCCCAGTTCCCTCAGCCGCTCCCCAGCAGACCTGTACTCCAGACCCTGCACCAGCTCCGTTGCCCTTCTCTGGACACACTCGAGTCACTCAATGTCCTTTTTGGAGTGAGGGGCCCAAAACTGAACCCAGTCATCGAGGTGCGGCCTCACCAGTGCGGAGTACAGGGGTCAGATCCCTTCCCTGTCCCTGCTGGCCACGCTATTGCTGACACAAGCCAGGATGCCATTGGCCTTCTTGGCCCCCTGGGCACACTGCTGGCTCCTGTTCAGCCGGCTGTCAATCACCCCCCAGGTCCCTCTCTGACTGGCAGCTCTCCAGCCACTCCTCCCCAAGCCTGTAGCGCTGCTGGGGGTTGTTGTGGCCCAAGTGCAGCCCCCAGCATTTGGCCAGGTCTCTTTGTAGAGCCTCCCTACCCTCAACTAACTCAGTTAGTTACACTGAAATATTGTGTAAACAGAATTCAGTGATTTATTACACAGTGATCTTACACTACTGCTGAAGTAAAAGTGTCAGGTGCCTTCAAGATTCATGAGAACCCATGTTTCTGATCACTCAAGAAATAGGAAATAAAGAAATTGTATGGTTGAGATCCAGTGCTGAAGCTGAGAAGGACCGTGTAATTAAATATTACATGTAGAACTGGTATGATGTAATAAGTTCTTTGCAGACATATTTTCTGCTTCAGGGTAACTGGTCTTGAAATTGACAAGCATGAGTTAGAAATAGAAACCGCAGCATCTGTGGATCTTCAGGTGCTAACAGACACCAGTCCTCTAGATCACTTTTGTTCGCTGCTACTTGCATGTATATAAGAATAACCTAGATGATGATTATTAAACAGCTGACATTGCTCGTTTGCCATTATTAGGTATGTCTTAGATGTAAATTGAAAGATAGGGCTAATTCTAACTTTTTTTTTTCTTTACAGATTACTCTAAAAGGGGAAAGAAAAAGTTCTAATTAAACTTTTAAAAATGTCTTTGTTGGAGAGCTATTAATATTCAGAAATTTGATATGTATTTCTTTTCTTCACTGTGTCTCAAACTGGTGGTTAGAACACTATTTGTCACCCTTTGCTATTTGTTCATCAGCTTCTATGAAGTGACTGTAATGCCATCGATGCATTTCTTAATGAACAGTTGTCATGTCACCATAGAGACAGGCAGAAGTACCTTTTATTTCTGGTTGCTAGAGGAAGACCAGAACATGACTGAACATTTAGAGAGTGAATAACAAAGAATGTTCTGATGACTAAAAACCTGCAGGTGCTCAGCTGGCCTTAGTGCCACTTGAATCACTGGGAAAACACTGTTCTATAATCACAAAAATAGAGGATAAGTTAGGTTGAAAGGTATCCCTAAAGGTCATCTTGTCCAACATCATCACCCAAAGCAGAGCTGACATAAAAATTAAGTCCAGCTTCAAAGTTACATCATGCTGTACAAGATCATATTCAGTGAAGTTCTAAATAAAACCATGGGTAGAGTTTCAATTCAATGGGCTAAAAGCAGTAGCTTTGGGTAGATAAGAAAAAAATGTCTATTGGTGCCAGATTGTTGAGAGAAAGCTAAAGTTACTCGAAACATGGAATTTTCCTGCAATTATCAGTACTGCTGATCTCTACATAATATTTGCTATATGTATGTGCATCGTGTTTTCAGCAGGAAGTTTACCATATTTATGCACAATTTGTAGGTATTGATTGCTGGAAAGTGCAATAATCTATCATCATAAAATCTTGCCCGGCTCTTGCACACATCACTTAACATTTAGTATTGTGCACAATAGTTCTGAAATGGTATAAGAGAATAAACCTAAAAAATCTCATAATTGAATGATTAAAAAAAAAAAAAAAA